TAAACTAACTAACACGACTAATTACGTTAACGTACCGTTTACCGTACTGTATAGTATACGTAACCTTAAACCGTTTACGTAACGTTATACATTTGCTGTTATGTTAAACTTATACTAAAGTTTTTCTTCATCACTCATTCAACCCGTCTCCAGCCATTAATAATATCCATTCATTAGTACTGAGAAGCATTGTATACTAATACCCACAGTATATCAAAATATAAAACTCACACTTCATTTCCTTAAAAAAACTATAAGGTGGCTGACAAAGGAGAGGCGATGTTATTACAGTGCTATATGGTTTGGTATCATGCAATAAAGTTGCTCATTACTATAGAAACACGAGGAGGCACTCTGATCATTACTGCTTCAAGCTACAACAATATTTCAGGAGGTCGTTTTAAAACCACAAGAGGAGCAGTAAAACTGTCACCTGAATGAAGAAACCGTATTCATGCCTCATATTTTTCTCAACATTTTTCTCTTTAATAATTTACTTAATTGAAAATTTATGTATATTTGCCTACTTGTCTTTCTTTTACATACTTATCTATCAATAGATGTTGTTTTTTTTTAATATTTTTGTTCCTCTACAAATCTTTACTGCTAACTTCATTACCTCTACCAAGGACTCCATTTTTTCCCACTTTTATTAAAAAAGTCTTACTTGTACTGTCTTCTTCATCCTTTGGGATGGTCCAGGGTACTCATTCGAATAGATGTCCGTAAGGAACATGGAGTTGATGAGGGTGGACTTCCCCAATCCCGATTCCCCTACATATCAATATATGAACTGTTATTTTATTCAGTATAAAACAATTAATGTAAAAAAAGTGTAAATTACTTTAAAATCTGGATGTGATACGTTGACCAGAATGAGTAAAAATTTAATAAAACTACCTTAATGTTTCTTGCATGAACAATACTAAACCTAACTTACGAAAAATGATTTTGTTCATTAGAAAAAAAGAACGAGAAAGAAAATACAAAAGTAGAATTGTAGCCATACAGCAACCTGCAATTTTAGTGAAATTTTGTAAACTGTGCCCACACATACATGTAACCTACACTTTTTAACAAGATTTTGTACAACCATAACTATACACATCCGAATTTTGCCCCAAAAAATGCTGCGAAACTGTAACCATACACCTAACCTGCATTCTGTCACAAATACATGTTTGTTTGTTTGTAATTAAGCATAAAGCTACACAATGGGCTATCTGTGCTCTGCCCACCACGGGTATCGAAACCCGGATTCTAGGGTTGTAAGTCCCCAGACATCCCGCTGTGCCCCTGGGGGGGGGGGCACAATACATGTAACCTACACTTTTTATGGAGATTCTGTAATTTCGACTGTGTAGTTTCATCGTCACAACTACCTGTCTTACTGGTTGTATCAAGTCCACAAACAGCCGTCCCCCCACCTTCAACAGGCGCCCAAAATAGTTAATAAACAGTGATTAAGGGTCTCCATGTAATTTTGCCATTTTGCTTCAAGAGCCCAATGAGGTCTACTTGCGTCACTAAGACTTCTTCACCAATGATGATATTTCATTAAAATTAGCTTACTAACCGGACATCAAAACGATAATTGTTAGCCTGACGACAAACAGCAATCTACAGTTTCTCTACCAAATAATCTAACATGCGAGTTGAACGAGGTAGTTTTAGATGCAAGTTCCAAGAACCGCTGTCTTGTTTTACAAATATTTTCATGTTGAATCACCGATGATTTATAAATATGGTAATGGAATATTCAACCACGATGACACCTTAAGCATTACATGACCTAAACAACCAGGTCACAGACTCCCGAGGTCCAGGTACAGACATTCCTATTACAGAACTGCTGGTCAAAAGAAAGTATAACGCTCCAACAGTTGGGTGTGAGGAATGTTTTCAGAGACATACTGCGACTCAAACCTTTGACTCTGAGACCTACAGAGCAGTACGCTAACAACTAAGCCACGCCCGGTCAATATCGATATAAACTTTACTTTTCAAATATTTCAAAATGGGCTTTTTTGTGTGTTTCACAAGGCGAGGAAGGTCTAAACGCAGAAACTGAAGCGTCACCCGCCTCAAAAACTCCTGACAGAAACTGTCCACAGAATATTACCATTAAACTGCTCTTTCTGAATAAATTTAAACTTAAAAATCTCTTGGACATATTTGAGAAATACTACACGAAAACAGCATTTTTATAAATGAAAAAAAAAACTTCTGTCCGTACATAGTAGCTTTTTTTTTTACATCAAATACAAGTTTTAAAAAATGGGACGCACACGTCTTTTCTTGGTTAAATACAATAGATAACATGTTTGTTTTGACAGAGAGAGTGAGAGAGTGAGATTTCTTTCTTATTAAGAACAGAGCAACACGACAAGCTATTTGTGAAGTGCCAACCTCAAGAATCAAATCACGAATTTTAGAGTTATAAGCCCTCAAGCTTACAGGCAGGCAAAAAGTATATTCACTTGTAAATTATTATATACACAAAATATAAATAATTAAACCCGCGATGTATACATTTTTCTTTGAGAAAAGAAGAAGAAAAAAAAAGCTCAATTTATTGCAAGTGTATAGTCAGGATAATTACACGCACATTAATTCTTCACTTATTGCAGAACGTGAAGCATGAAATCATGCAAAAATGTCCAGAATAATGTAAAACAGACCCGAAGACAAAATAACACGTAAGAGTACATTTTTAACCACAAGACAGCTCAAGGTTTTATAATACTCCAAAATAATGGGATATAACGGAACTGCTTTAACAATGCTTTAAAATACGTGGAGGACATGATATACCCAGAAGTTACTACAACAGTGGTTTCCAAACTGTGTGTTACGACAAGTTGCTGGGGTGTCGCCAGAGTTTCAACAAACGAAGAATAATTAACACACACACACACACAAAATGCATGTGGCAGCAGGGGTGTCGCGCAAATCAATCTAAGTGGGTTGGATTGTCGTCAGTGGAAAAGGTTTGGGGACCACTTTTATGCAACATTACTAAACAGAGGGGCACAGTAAAGAGTTGTTTAACACTGCGGTAGAATACTTAAAGACAACGTGAATAGGATTTAGATGAATCTCCAAAATGTGAACATACTATTTTTAGTTTTCGACAGGCTTTAGCAAGTCTCTTTGCAAATTAATTAAACAAATTGGTAAGACCACACCACAGATATGTCATTCAAGGTACTGCTGAATAACAGTTTTACTTGCTGGTAAGTTCTGTCAAAACTTCTTAATATGCGTGTGTGTGTGTGTGTGTGTGTCACACAAGAACTTTCTGTACGTGCGTTCGCGTGCGATAGCGACATCATACCACAGAGAAAATGAGAAGCAACATCTACTCGCATTTCCCACAACACGCAACCATTTCTACCGCACACTGATATTGCACCGTCTTCTTAATTGTTTGGAGCGTCACCTATAATAATGACAAGCGTGACGTGACGTAATAGATGTTCTGGAGGTAGCCAATCTGTCAAGATAACCACGACTAAGTTTGGAGCTTTGGAATTCAGTACCTTTATTCGGTAACTTTTGATTCGGCAAAATATTTTTCTTACACGTTAGAAATGAAATTTTATAATATTCTAAAAACATATGTTACACGGTCATCGAATTAATATATAATTAATCATACGGCTTTCAGGCTTAACATCGATTACCGCAGTTCTGGACTTTAATAAACTATATCATTTTCTGAGATTAATTCGTGTTGTATTTTCTTGTAAAGGCGACGGTCTGATAGTTTCCCTACGAAAACAAACACACTGCTGTGAAGAACTCTTTGTTTGTCTGTTGTTGTTGTTAAGCGCAAAGCTACACAATAGGTTATCTATTCTGTAGCCAGCACGAGTATTGAAATTCAGTTTTTAGAGGTGTCAGCCTTACTGTTGAGCCAGTGAAGAGCTTGAAGAACTGAACCATCGACATGGAACATTTATACCATAAGTACTTATATCATACCATTATTCAGATAATTTAGATCACGGATAAAGTACATTATGGAATAAAAAACAACAACAAAGCACGATAGTTCATTCATACCACCCACACCTATATAATATTACTAAGAAAAGTTACATTTAATATTAGAATTATTAATTCTGATACCTCGAGATCAAGCGCTTAACTTTTATCATGCTGCGTGACATGAACTATTAGTTAGTCCCGCAGTCGAATGTTAGATTAACTGTCAAGTAAATCCAAACATTTCATTATTTATAAATATATATATATATATCGTTCTTCAGATAGCCTCCCCGAATACAGAAATGACTTTAATCAAAGTTTATGTGGCACAATTAATACAGTAACAAACTCATATTACGTCAAAGGCTGTAAAACATAGCTTGATTTAATGAAACTTGGAAATGGATACCATATGTTCTTGAGGGACAACTGTTTCCACGAAACCCTACACGAATATTTTCTCGGACTATGTTAAACTAAAAAAATAAATACACACAAACAAGCACCATCTGCAGCGTTATAAATGTATTACAGATTTACCATCCATTAAAAAGTACAAAATAATTTTAGCTGTGGCTAAATTTACTCACTGGGAGTAACAATAACCAAAACTAAATAAAGTTTCTGAAGTAGGTTATTGCTCTACAATACAGTTACTGAAGTAGTCTCTTACCATATAATACAGTTTATGAAGTAATATCTTATCCTGAAGTACTTTTATTATTTATTAGTTTTGAAAGTCTCTTTCCATCTTACAGATCCTGAAATAGTTTTAGCATCTAATAGTTTCTGATATAGTCTCTTACCGTCCAATACAGTTTCTGAAATAGTCCAATACCACCTATTACGGTTTCTGAAGTAGCCTCTTTCAATTTAATAGTTTCTGAAGTAATCTCTTACCATTATGTAATAACTCCTACCAGAAAAGCTACTAAAATCCTACAATATTAATCTTAATTAATAATAAGTAGCCTTAATTATGAGTAACATGCAAACTACAAAAAAATTCTATGGCCACTCTGCCCTGGGTCATTCATTAGTTCGGTATCCTCGCTGCAAGCGATGTTTTCGGTTCTTAACCGAAGAATACCTGACAAGGATGGGCCTGCTTAGCGAAATTACCAAGCACCGAAGCAGAACAGACACCTGTAAAGCGTCAAGTACCATGCCTATCATATTTGGATAATGTGGTTATTACTATTTAAGACATTTCATATATTCAGCTAATACCATAAATAACTAATATATATATATATATATATATTTTGCACAATCTAATCTGTAAACGACTAAGTTACAGAAACACATACAAACTTACATTTTATTTATTATGTGACAAGTTGCAGCTAGAAGTTCAGAGAACAATAGTTCAGTTGAATGAATGACCACCAGTATATCTAGTTCTAACCGTTTCAATCCACCATACCGTTTGAGGAGGACCATGCTAAAGAAAATCTGACCAGTGACCAGACTTGAAATGGAGAGCTTATAAGTGAAACAAACCAAAAGCGACCAATTTTTAAACGTGGAAGGATAACTTAAAAGAAACGTTAGCACAGAATCTAAGGAACAAGATATTAGATATATACTTATAAATCTCTATGGTGTGACAAATGCTTGGATTTGTGATGTAGTGTGTAAGGTCAGGATAAAGAAAGTTATTTACATCCTATGGCGAATGTGTTAATCACGTGATGTATACAGGGACAACGGCCACATCGTGGAAGGCGATTGATCCAGCATAACTTTTAGTGGAGTTGAATAAAATGATAAATGTGAAA